CGGCTGCCACAGCCATTGCAGCTCCCGGTCGGGGGCGCCTGCGCTGGCCTTCCAGCTCCCTCGCGCTGCCCAGACGAGGTAAACAAAGTGCAATATCCTTCCGCGGCCCAGGGTGCCGCCGCGCGCTTGGCTCTGCTGCGCACTAGTTTGAAGGTGCTGGGCTGGAGATGCCTGGACTCTGATACCCTCGGTCCTCCCCCAGATCCAGTTCATATCCCCTGCTTTTTCCACGAGAAGCCAGGCATCCTCTGAGCATCAAGCTCCCTCTGCTCCGATGTTGCACTCGCTGAGCAGCTCCTCAGTTTCTTAAGAACGTACTTGCACCAGCAGTATTGCCGCCGGAGATATCAAGAATTAGTTTCATTATCTCTCCCCAACACTCCTCATTTAAACTGAAATCTCTTGCTGGCTTTTAGTTTGTGTCAGTGCCTCCCACCCCTCCCCAACTCCCCAGCTTGAGCTTCGAATATTTTCAGCACCTTTTGGCTTAAAATTTTTTAATCAGTAATTCTTCCTTCCCTGGACGGTCCCCAGAGTGCTTTGGAGGGAAACTCACCTTTGCACCCACACCTCTAGTGAGCGCTGTTGGCTCCCAGCCAGATTGCTGAGTTTCAGAAGTCCTCCTACGCCCGGCACGTGGACCACAAACACATTCAATGCTGTCATGGGGGAAGGCTGCAGTTTCACCCTCAGACTATTTTTCACTTCTTAGGAAGGTTCCAGACCACTGGCTTGGGAAAGAACACAAGAGAAGGGGCCTGTTCAGATTTTGGACACCCCAGATTTACCTAATGTATCCTGGTATATAAGAAGCAATGTAGTTAGAGGGGACTTAAAAAGAGGCCAAATCCTGGGAAAGGGGTGTTGAGAGAACTCTGGGAGCCCTCTGTGCTTTTGCATGCACGTTGGACATCTTCTCATGGCACAGGGACCACATAATTAATTGCCCACAGAAGCATGCATTTGAATGAAAAAGAGAGCTATTTATAATTATGCCCACCCACCGGGGACATCAGGGTTCCTGCAGAGATCAAGAGTTCCTGGTGGTGGGCCAGAGGTGGAGGGAGGACACTGCCTTCATCCTAGAGCATAGTTTGTAAAGTAGGTAAGATGGCCCCATGCCTCCTGGCACATCTTACATCTTACTGCCCAGAAACCTGCCTAGGACTCAATTCCTGATTCCCAGGGAAAAGATAGTTTCCCTTAGGCTCCTGTGGAGAGTCTACCCCATGGGAACACTTGACCAGCACCAGCAACAGCCCCCAGGCAACCTCTGCTCATGGGACAGAAAGAGAGGTGCCTGGTCTCAGTTTGATGGCCACCAACAGAGCTTGGTCAAAGGCTTGGGAGATCTGTGTTTTGGTACTGGCCTCTGATTTCAGATGGAAATTGAGTCCCGACATATTTTTTCCTAATGTGTAAAATGAGAAGCATAACAGACTGGCTCACCTCACATGATTGTTTCATGATTGTGTTTGCAGTACCAGGAACTCTCTGAGGGCTTACTTTAAGTTGGGCCTTGAGCTGGGTGTTAGAGATCCAGGCATGAGTAAGATTACTCTGCCACCCAAGAGCTCAGAGTCTAGCCCTGGAGAAAGAGTGGGGAACAAATAATTCATTGTGTAACAATGTGGCAATTAGAATATCAGGGCCTCCAGGGAATACAGAGGAGGGACAACTTTTCCTGGACTTCAGGGAGTTTTCCCAGAAAATGTGTGTGTGTGTGTGTGTGTGTGTGTGTGTGTGTGTGTAACCTTGAATTAATCCAGAGCAAATATTTATTGAAACCTACTATGTGCCAAACACTGGATATGAAGACACATCAACTTAAAAATATATTTCCTTTCTTCATGGACCTTGAAATAGTCCTGTGAGTCATAAAATAATATGAATAAGAGATTGTTGTTGGCATTTCAGGCAGAGAGAAGGAATGTGAAAAGCAAAGGAGTGGGCTGTTCTGAACTTCTAGTAACTCACCCAGCTTCACTGTTGATAGCATGGCAGCAGTGGCCAGGCAGGTGGCCCACAAACTGGATTGGGAAGGGGCTGATGGATATATTTATGGTAGAGAAGAGGTGGACTCAACCCCGACTTTAAAATGGGAAGTATCATGATTGTATTGGGGTTTTATGAAGATCATGATTGGGGTCACATGTCATTAATTACCACTGTACTTCCAAGGGAAGAAAATACTGGAGCTTAAACTGAACAAATGAAGTTAAGTTGACAGTGATCTGTGACTGATGCTATCCATGATTGATAGTGAATCTATTACTTCTGATGAAATTATACAGCCGCCATTACCCTGCCCCTTCTTACAGGCTAAATTTGTGGCTGAGTGCGATGCTGGTTGATCAAATTCATGAAGTTATTGTAGAGCCAGATAAGTGAGATAATTTATACTAGGCAATTTGCTTTGCCTCTTGACTCGGAAAATCTTCTCAAGTTGAAAAAAAAATATGGTAAAAAGGTGAATTTCAATCTTCATTTATTCCCTTTTCAGCCATATGATCTTGGATTATTTAGAATATCTCAATCTATTAAGTAGAGTTATGATCAGAATTTTTCCAACATGAAAATCATGGAAGATGCAAATAAAGCAACCAGCATAGTGACCAGTACAAAATAGAAACTAAATAGTTGCCATTAGTGTTGCCATTGTTGTAATCAATCCACAGAATGCAATCCAACATGGAAGAAGAAGAAGGAGAAGGAGAAGGGGAAGAGTCTAACATCAATAAGAAATGAGTAAGTTGTTAAGAGGAGGGACAATTTTTAAGCTGGGCCTTGAGCTGGGTGTTGGATATCCAGGCCTGAGTAAGATGAGTCTGCCACTGTGTGTGTGTGTGTGTGACTATGAGAAAATGTTATGTGGTAATTAAAATGAGAATCATATAACCCTAAAGAAATATATTTTTAAGCAATCTACTCTGTAGTAGGACAGTCAAATCCAGTTGCTTCAGGTCAGTAGCCTGATGTGCGTGCTTGCGCTGATATTTAGATTATGGCCTCTTCAGCTCTCAACTACTGTGTTCCCATTGAGATGCCTCTGTGGATGGCATCCCTGAAGTTGTAGAAAATGCATTCATCTTTTTCCATTGGGGTTGCAATAACAAAATATCATAAACTGGGTGGCTCATAAATAGCGTGAATTCGTCTCTCACAGTTCTGGAGGCTGAAAATTCTAAGATCAAGGCTCTAGCAGGTTCGGTGTCTTGTGAAGGCTGGAGTTCTGGTTTATAGATGGTGCCTTTAGCCTGTGTCCTCACAGACTGGAGGATGGAAGGCAGCTCTCAGGGGCCTGCTGTGTAAGGGCACTGATCTCATTGATGAGCATTCTATCCTCTGACCCAGTCACCTCTCAGAGGCCCCCACTTACTGATGCCATCGTGGTGGGATTAGACTTTCAACGTATGAATTTCAGAGGGACCTGGGCACCCAGGCCATAGCTGCAGTCTTCTTGGCCATACGTGGAGCCTTGGGCTTAAGTCACTGGGCTGGAATTCCAGAACTTCCCGAGGACTCCTCTCACTCTTTCTGGCTATACACCTTCTAGCTTCTGGCTACTCGAGAGGCCTGCCTCTTTGCCTGGGATGTGGCTCCCTTTCTCTTCCTTGTTGGGTGACTCCGTGTTTCCCTGGAATTCTTTCCAGGATGTTCCCTTCACCTTGTTTGCTCCCGCACATGAAGGGCTTTTTCCCAAGTTCTCTTATTTGGCTTTGCAGATTCCTGAAGTTTTAAACACATGTTTAAAATCAAGGTGCCTTGGGGGGCGGGGGTGTGCATGGTAAATAGGAAGAAGTTTGTGGTATTAATGCCTGAGTTACAATCCACATACTGGCAATGAGGAAGTCTAAGATAACCTAGTGCCCGAATAGGTAAAGGCAGCTAGAAGGGAAGTGATTCTACTTATTCAGGCAAGAGTGAACTCGTGGGTCCGTGGGAAACCAAGGCAGGATAGCATTCTAACAGCCAGCACTGTAACACTCTTTGGGAGGCTCCTCTGTCTAAAACTGAACTGTTCACTGTCACCTTGGGCTCTGCCATTAGTGTCACATTGATTTTCATGCTCTCTTGTTGTCTTCCTTAAGCCTTGTAGTGACTCTGGCAAAAGTTTCTTTGCTCCACCTGTGAAGAAAAAGCTGAAGGAGGCTGAAGGAAGAGTGCATCCCCTTCACAGCAGCACGACCCTTGGTGAGGCCCACAGAGACCCTGAGCTGCGCAGAGGGGCAAGACATCAAGATGCATTTCAGGTGGTGACGAGGCCCGTGTCCTGCTTCTAGTCTTTGGCCATGTTGGCTCTGCTAGCTCCAAGTCAAATCGATCCATTTGTTTGGAGAGCTAACTTCACTCACTTCAGTAATACTGAGATGTTAATTCTGCCTTTGGGGCGCTGAACCAGTCAGGTCTTTGTCTCTGTTTTTTCTGCAACACTTCAAATTGTTATCCTCACTGTACAGATGAAAGAACAAGGACCCAGAGAAGAGCAATGGATTCTTTCTGTGGTCTTAACCCGTGTTCAACAGCCTTGGAGGCTGTGTGTGTGTGTGTGTGTGTGTGTGTGTGTGTGTGTGTGTGTGTGTGTGTGTTTTGGGGAGAAGGGGGAGCAGGAGAGGGTGTTGATTCTGAAACTATAAGATATTTCACTACATCACATTGCCTGTCATCAGGTTTTCTAGAATTGACTAAGCCTTCGGCTTAAGGACCACTTAAAATCCTCCCATAACGGTGTGATTTCCTTGGTCATTTTCTCTCTTTCTTTCTTTTCTTAAACAGCTCCTGTTTGGGAAGCTGCTTCTTATTTCCAAGTTGATTCCTAGGGCACCATTCACTTGGTGTGTGTTTGACTGTTTGTTGGTGGTTTTTACCATGGCCGGCTAGGGGATGAGTTTTTCTCTTTGGACAGACGTATAAATGCAGAAGAAATTTTTGTGTTTGAACTATTTCTTTTCCAGGCTTTGGTTTCACATCTTTTCTCCCGTAGGAATAGTAGTTGTGGAGTGCTCGCAATTGAGTGAGATGCAAGAGAATTTCTGTTGTTCTTCAATTAGAGGAGGGTGGGAACCCCAATCTATGAGAATTTTCTGGCTACTGCAAATGGTCTACCATCCTGTGGAGGATTGCTGAACAGTCAATAGAGAAACGTGAAAACAGGTAAGAGGAACCAGCTAGCCAGGAAGTCCTAGAAATTTACATATCTACAGAGCAAGGTTACTGTAAAAAGGCTATGCCTGAAGGGTGTTCTGGTAAATCTAGTGTGTGTTTTTACCCCTGCCTACAGACAGACTTTAGGGGGCAGATTTTTCCTGGGTCAAGATCATCCTCTTCTCAAGTGTCAGAGCCTAATGCACTGACTTCCCCACCTCCGTTTCTTCTTAAATGGAATGGAGATGACCTTCCTTACAAAGGGAATAGGCTCCATCACATGGTCACTAAAGATTCGCCTTTTACAATCCAAATATTGGTATGGAAAAAAAAATCGTCATCTCCCAGGTGGATCAATGCCTGGACCATGATGAATTGAAATGTCCATCACATTCTGGTTCCAGTACAGTCAATGACAGCCCCGAGAGCCTAGATTAAGGTTTATAAGGCTTAGCATATGTACTGGGCTGGCCAGTCTACAAAGCTCTCTTGTATTTTGTCTCATGTAATTCTCACAAGAACATCTTCAAGGTGGCTTCATTACTATCCTTAGTAGAAGGAGGTTGCTAGCCTAGGAGCACACATCCAGGACTTCTGTTGGCACTTCCTGCAATCCTTTGATGATACAGTTCTCCCCTCTACTTCCCTTTGTCCTCTTTCCTTTTGCCTTTTGTCCCTTTCCCCTTCTTTCTATTACCTTCTGAAAGCCACTCTAAATTTAAGATAATCTGGAGGTCATGTGTAGGGGTCCTGTGCACAAGATTTCATTTAAGTGCAGCATTCACAGTTGAAAAACAGGAAAATGTCTCTAAACAAAAACTATGGATAACTCTGGAATAAACTGTGAGCCCTGAATCCCCAGGTGGGCTTGAAATATAGGAAGTACAGTATAGCCCCTCAGCTCTGTAGGAGGCAATCTACTCAGGGGACTATGGAAGGAATCAGCAGTAAGTCTGATTCTCTTTTCAATATGCAAATAAACTCAAAAGCTTTTGCAGTTAATAAAATGCAAAAAGTGTAAACAAATTACTGATTGCGTAATTTTTTTCCACTTAGGCAACAAGAAATATATAAAAGTATAATTGTCATACTTGGGACAACATGAAATTTTATATCAATCAATGAAAGAGTGTGCTAGCCAACTTAAAAGGGATTTGATTCCAGGAAGTAAACAGCTTTCTAAATGACACACCACTCAGTGACTCCAGGGCTTAATCTCTGATAGACCCTGGGGAAACACATCTAGGAAAACGTTCAATGCAAAAGTTGGCCAAGAATTGTTAAATTGAGTACTTCCTCTGAAGTTTAGCAGCTCTGTGACTTTAGGTAAACTATGTAATACCTTTAAACCTTAGTTTCTGCTTTTCCAAAATGGCACAATGATAATGTGGAGTTCATTGAGTTCTAAGCCTTAGGTAACATGTTCATGAAGCTCTCTGTTCAGTGCATGGATGGCAGAGGGCAGCAGTTCTTACCACCACTACAACCAACACGAGTGCTCCTGGTATGAATTTCTCCTCTTCCTTCTTCTCCTCCTTCCCACTCCTCTTCCCTCTGGATCTTTCCTTTTTCTTCTTCACACTGATGCTGTGATAGGCAAGAAAGTTAAATATATACTAAGGTGCTGCATGTCTTTCTGTTGCTGCTCTCAGCCTGGTGGGGAGAGGTAGGAACCTCAACATTCTGGTGTATATGACAAGAGTGGCAGCTGGGATTCCCAGCCAGAAAATAGGGAGTCAAACTAGGGTTCAAACTGGAGCAAATTATGTTAAATGCATTTATGACAGTGTCAAAATGAGCCTTTCCATTATGGATAACTACAACGCACTAATAAAAACTTTTAAAAAGAAAGGAAAATAGGGATCTCTCCAGGGTTCCAGTTGCAAAGTCGGGTCAAACCCAGGTGTGTCTGACATATTCCTTCACAAAATTCACTAAAATTTCTCAAGGAAATAGGCAAAGCACAGGCTAAATGGCAAAGATCACGTTGCAGAAGCCCTTTATTTAGTTCACCTCCTCTCTTGCTGGGGCCCCTTTTTACAAGTTCTTTTCAGGAAAAAAAAATGTTACCCTGATTGTCTATAAGATGCTGCAAATACCCAAATGACTAGAAAATCATTTTGCATTGGAGACCAAAGGGTTCTATACACAGTTTGCCATAACTTAGGGTACAAGAATATTTTGAAGTCGGGGATATTTAAGAAGAATATCAGCTTTACACTCTGGCCAAAAAGGGTTTCTTGAGGAGTCCAGATGTGGGTATGGAGAGGGCAACCCTTGTTTCTGGCACAAAAATTCTAAGGGAAAGCCCCCAAACCAGTATTTAAGGGCAATAAGATTTTTTAAGATAACTTTTAAAAATAAAATTTAATGCTAAAAGTATCTGTGATAAAGAATGTCTCCAGATTTTAAAGAAGGAATGAATCAGTGCTATTGAATCCTGTTGCTTCAGACTCCGCATTGCCAGTTGGGCCCTGTTACCCATCCTGTTTTTCTCCCTGGGGAGAAAAGAAAAGAAGGAATGAAATAATACCTTCTTCTGCATTTAGTTCAGGGCAAACGCTTTGCAAACACTACCTCACATCTTCCTAAGGTAACAGTGGATTATAGAGAGGATGGACCCCCATTTTGCAGAAGAAAATGTGGGGTTCCATCAGGAAGAATTGCTTTGGTTAACTCATAGAGGGTAGAGTTGGGATTCAGCTTCAGGCATGTCTGAACCCATTGCCCGTGACCTTTCCATACCGTCACAGGTCTCACTCTCTGGCACTGCCTGACTGGGTTCCTGTCAAATGACAGTGCATTAGTCAGCTTGAGGTGCCATGACAACATACACAGACATTATCACAGTCCTGGAGGCTGAAAGTCTAAGTTCAGCGCGTTGACAGGGTAGGTTTCTCCTTGGCTTGCAGATGGCTGCTTGTTCTCATGTACTCTCTCTCTCTCTCTCTCTCTCTCTCTCTGTGTGTGTGTGTGTGTGTTTGCTTGGTCTTTTCCCTGTGCTTGTGCATCCCCATATCTCCTTCTCTTTCTCTTTTTCTTCTCTTCTCCTCTCTCCTCTTCATTTCTCATATCTCTTTTTCTTCGTGAAGGACACCAGCCTGTTGGATTAGGACCCACGTTTATGACCTATGTTCACCTCAGTTACCTCCTTACAGGTCCTGTCTATCTCCAAAATCAGTCACTTTGAAGGTGAGAGTTTCAATGTCCAAATTTTGAGGAGGTCACAGTTCTGTCCACAATGGAGAGCTGTCATCGTTGGGACCTTATTATAATATTCATCACAGAAAGGGCTGTATCCCTGACCTCAGAATTAATAATAGAGTTGAGGTGCACAAGGTTTACACCAACTAACCTTACCACAAATCAAACTGTAGAAACTGCAGTTATCAAATGTAAAGTAAATAAAGGCACAGGACTTATCATTTTATGCTTTAGAATAGTCCTTGGTGCAAAGCAGTGGGAATACACACACACACACACACACACACACACACACTCACACACACAAACACAAATATATGGAATGTGTGTATATGTATATATGTGTGTGTCTGGAGTGTTTAGAGAAGTAGAAGAATCTTTTCATCAGTACCTGAAGCGAGGAAAGCATCTGAGCCGACAGGTTGAAAGAAGAACATGTGTAAGAGGAGGTCCTGTGCCTAGTCCTGAGGCAGAGACTGCAGGAAGGGGAAGCTATACCCATCCCAGGGCCATGTGACGATGGTCCCCTGGCCCCTGGATGAGAGATTCTTATGGACCAGGAGTCACATGGTGTAGTATAAACTGCATGGCATTTGTAGTTGTACTAGTTAGAATTTTATTCCACATTTATGCACATGTCAGTTGGCTATTGCTGATGACAAATCACCTCTCCAAATTTATTGACTTAACATACCACAGATTCATCACATTTGTGAATCAGGAATCTAGATATGCTTCAGCAGAACTGAGTCCTCTGCTTCAGGGCCACTCACAAGTGTAGAATCATGGTATAGGACAGGCCTGTGGTTTTATCTGAAGGCTCAAATGGGGAAGGATCCACTTCCAAGGCTGCTCGTGTAGTTACTGGTTAGACTCGGTTCCTTTGAAGTTATGGAACCCGAGGGTCTCATTTCCTCCGTGGAGGTTGACAGGAGGGCACCCTCCGTTTCCAGCCACTGGGGCTGCTGCGTAAGGCTGCTCCCCACATGGCAGTTTGCTTCAGCAGAGCAAGCTCGTGAGAAAAGCCGGGGAGTGTGTCTGTGCCTGACAGCAGTCTGTCTTTAGCAGCCACATCACTTTGGCCACGCTCTACTCTTTGGAAATGAATGATCTGAGCCATTTCAAATGCAACAAGAGGGCACTACAGAGGGTGGAAGACAGAGATCATGGGCAGCCATTTCAAAAGTTGCTTACCCTAACATTATTTAGGGTGGCCTATCAGAATCTTAGGGTGGAAATTCTTACATTCAACAGGAAAGGGAAAAAAAAAAACTAAAAATTGTTGACATACACGGAGAAGCATGACACACCTTTGACATTCTTCAAGTACTCTTTCATCTGTCATGGTTGCTCCATGTCTAGGAATCTTTCTATCCTCCACCATCTTAGTCTACCATCTCAGGATAGCCACACACCCCTGGACTCTAAGAATGGGCATATTGCCCTAACCTGGAGATAAGGAAGTTCTGAGTCCTTCCCTCTATACCCTCAGTATTCAGGATGGTGACGGGCACATGTTGGTTGTCATCTTTGTTTGTTGGATGAAAGGATCTGAATGACGTTCTTTTGGCCGTCTGGTGCCATACACAGAGTGTGGACTGGGATTGAATCAGACCTGCAGATACTTAATCAGATCAAGGATTGAAGGATCTGCAGGTGCCTCTGCCCTTCTGTGCCTACCAAGGACTCTCAGTCTGTGCCTGAGTGAGAGGGGCTACATCTGCCAGCCAGTTTTCAAATGCTTGCAGGATATTCCTAAATGATGACTTTTTAAGTCCACATTTCATAACTAAATTGATTCCATTGTTTTGAAAGAATCTCCTTAATTGAATGTTCTTTGTCAACCCAATAAACTGCTAGTTTTGCAATAAGATTCCCCTGGCACCTTTCCTGGGAGGTTCAGTGTGAGAAATTCATTCACATAAAAATAAATATAGTAGGAAATTCTTGTCAATTAGCTCAGTTCTGTCGATTGATCACCTTCTATGTGCCAATCACTGTGCCAGGGGCTGGCACAGGATAGCAGATCTTATATGAATTCACGGTATCCTGGCAGCTTTTGCGTACTACATTGTTTTCTCATCTGAGATTTTTTTTTTTCTTTCTTTTTCCCATCACATTCTTTCTTGGGTCATGAATCAAGATGATTTTCTTAAATACATGAAGTGACCCAAAGTAGAGAGAGAAATGTTCCAGGTTGATGAGGCCACAGCTCTTCAACGCTTCCTGTTAGGAGGCAGAGCTAATTCTATCCCCTGGAATCTGGACTAGCCTGAGACTGCTTGGACCAATGAGAATGGACCCATATGGCATGTGGTAAGTTCTAGATCTTGCGTTGGGGAGCTGAAACCTTCTACCTTTCTCTTTCAGAGTCCTGACCTGGCATGCAATGAGTCCAACCAACGAACGAACCTATGGGGGTAACCACAGGGAAAGGCCCCACGAGTGTGCGGAACAGGAGAGAGTCCAGTGACACCCAACCTTCCAACCAACCGGAAAGGCTTTGGGCACAAGAATGAAGCTACAAACTGCCACCACCCGATGACCTCAGTCATGCTGTCTGTCATGAGCTAAAGAGTGATGGTTGTTTCCCATCAGTAAGAGCTGAGTTTGATTTTCGCACAACCAACGGCAACAATGAAGGGTCACACTGACTTGCTTAGTGAGCCAGTTCCTCTAGGAAGCCTTACCCAGAGGAGTGGGAAGGAAAGATTCCTGCAGCGATCACAGTGATAAATAAATAAATGAATAAATCTCAGGTCCTCCATCCTCTGGTATGTCCAGCTAAGGGAACATCTCCTTCCTCGTATGCATGGCCTCAGGCGATGATATTTTTATAGGGAACTCTGCTCCCTCTGTCATTGAAAAAGCTTCACTTGCCTCTCAGTGAATCAGGAGCTCCATGAGTACAAGGGCCGAGTCTAGAAAATTATTACCTCTCTGTCCTAAAGGGTGAGAATCCATCTAGGTCTTTTGAGAGCCCTCAGCTGTGATTCACGGCCCCTTATATCTATTTTCACTCAATATTTTTCTAGGGATCTGAGGTCAAGTTCATTGATCTTACCAGCGCCCAATCACGTTGTCTATGAAATAAGGGCATTAGGTTTCCTGATACTCAAGCCCCTTTCATCTTTGGCAACAAAGAATTTGTTCATCCCTCATTTTTCAAACTGTAGCACAGAGACCATGGAGAACCTCATCAGGGTATGGAAGGCAACGCTGCTTCTCCAAGAATGAAGATGCTGACTGGTATTCTTTAGGAATTTGAATGCAGAAGAGCATCCAGGTAAAGCAGAATGGCTTTCCACCCAGTTCTGATGAATTTAACATTTTACAGCTAACAGTCTCCCATGGAGATAGCCACAATAGTTGTCATAAGAGTGGGAAGAGATGAGCTGCGGCTGCTATAGCACAGGACTTGCTCTCCCAGAAATCTTTTTTTTTTTTAATATTTTTGTGAAACATGGGTGCTGTAGTAAGCATGACTAATATTGTGATCATTATACATATGGCCTTATTTCCTGACCCTGTACCACGCATCACGTTCTCTAGTGACGAATGTTCATGGTCTTTGCTGTTAGACATCCTTCTTAGCTCCATAAATCTTGCTGATCATACAAGATTCATCTTGAGTACCAGCTCCTTCAGGAAATCCTGTGTTGAGCTAAGAGTTTTTCCCATGAGTTTATCTCTATCTTAGCCATGCCATATTTTATTGAAATTATCTCTGCATCTTCCCATTTTCAGCTTGTCAGTTCATTAAAGTAAGGACTGCATTTCCCTATGGCTGTTTATGTAGAGTAGAGACTTGCCTGGACATTATGCATGACTGACCTAGCACTTGCATTTATAGTTCATAAATGGTTTTCATCATCATTCTTGCTAAACAGCTGAACAGAGGCTCAGAGAGGAAAGTGACTCATTTTTGCAGGGGGGAGGTACCACAGATTGAACTCAGGGACTCTCGACCACTGAGCCACATCCCCAGCCCTCTTTTGTATTCTATTTGGAGATGGGGGTCTCACTGAGTTGCTTAGTGCCTCACTTTTGCTGAGGCTGGCTTTGAATCCGCCATCCTCCTGCCTTAGTCTCCTGAGCTGCTGGGATTATGGGCGTGTGCCACTGCACCTGGCCAAAAAGTGACTTTCTTAAGATCATCCAGCCACAGGCAACTCACTCACAGAGGCTTGTTAATGTTCTTCTCCTACATCCCAACTGTATGGGGTGGGGGTTTCTCCCTTGTGGGAGCTCAAGACCTGTCCTCCTCAAGGATAGATATCCTTTGTTTTCAATGTCTGGGAAATGCCCCAGGATTCCCTGCTGCGTTACCCTGGGAGACTATTGCTCAATCCCAGCAGCTGTTCTGGAGGAAAAGAAAGAGCAGACATTCTGAGTGTATCATACATACAATGCAATATTGAACTGAAGATTGCTAATGAGCAAGAACTCTTTTATTGTGCAGTCTACTTCCAGTGAGGTCTAGCTCTTAATTTTCAGTGGGTGTAGCAGGAAGTACTAGAGTAAAAAATAAAACATATATATTACTAATACTGTTGCTATATAAAACAATATTTGGCCAAGATGGTTGAGATATGATTCAGTCCTTGTTCATCAAGTTGCTAAATATTATTCAGTGAGTGTAGTCGCCATATGGTATAACTTTGAGTTTTCCTGGGAGACCGGGTAAAATATTGTGTTGGATATAGAATCTGGAATTGTGCATGTCTCTGGTGGATGAAGCCTGGTTGCAGCTGCAGACTGCTAATTCCATTGAGCCCTCCTGCAAAGACTGAAATGCACATGGCAAATGGAGAAGGCATTGCTCTGCATGTATCACTCTATGAGGTCGGTTTCTTTCAGAAAATGATGGAGAGTGGGCAGAACCACACATCTAGACACAGATGCAATCTTTGAAGAAAAATGTGTGTGGGCAAGTACAGTACCAGCTGGGAAAGTCTAAATGACTGAAACCCATGACTCAGAAATCTTAAATTGCCTTAAAATTAATGAAGCTCTGTGGGGATGACTCAGTTCATTCATGTCCTTAGCTTGCAGGCTCAAAAGCTTGCAGCAGTGGCTTTTGCCCAAAGTTTGGGAGAGCAGAACCCATAGAGGAAATGGGTCCCCCACACAGGTTGCTCTGAGGGTGTTCCGGGGGGGATCTGAGCTAGAGAGGAAGGTGAGCTGGCTCCCATGGTTCCCAAGGGACGAGTGACCTCAGACAAGTGAAACCCTCTCTGGTCCTGAGTTTCCATCCCTGTAAAATGTAAACGAGAGATCGGATTTCAAAGTTTTCTTTAGCATTCATCTTTTGATTAGCCAGGGTACCAATAAGAAACAGGATAGTCCCCAGAGGGTTCAAAGAAAGAGATTTTAATACAGGTATCCTAGCAGATGTGTGTGCCAGGTTAGGAGAATAAACCATGGAGAGTAAGGCACTCCGACTGGTGAAACTAGGGCGCCATTACTGCCTCTGTCACCAAAATGGCAAAGGGAGAATGGGGTTACTGGACACCCCTGAGAACCAGAACTCTGGAGGAGCCCCCAGGGGGAGCCAGAGTCCCGGGGGTCGGGGAGAAAGCCCCTGCCAGGGAATGAGGCTCAAGAAGGAGAGAGCAGAAAAGAAATTACCCAGCTTGGCTGTGGTGATGCTGTTTGGTTGAACCCAAGGGGGAGTTATGCATCGGGGGAGCCCAGATTAAGCCATCCGTCGGGGTTGGCTCCATTTGACACAGAGCAGAGGGCGGAGAATGGATGTGCGGTATAAAAACAGAAAACCCAGGACACAGCCTACGCCATTATAAATGTGATCATGCTTCTGTGTTAGGGAAAAGAGCATCACATTTTTTTCCCCCTAAAACAGCTGAACAATTATTTTCAAGTAACAGAAGTCCAGAGTTCAAGGGCCACCCAGCCTTAGCTTATTTTGTTAACCTGTAAGAGTGTAGCATTATGCCGGTGCCACAATCAGGAACTATTTGTTGAATTAAAATCTGATCACAAATCAAGGCTATAAACATCCGTGAGTGTGTATGGTGTGATGCATGGTGGGTGTTCAGTGAATTATCTGTTGACTCAGTAATGAATGTGTAGGTTCAAAACAAATTATGTAATCTCTCAAATGAAAGGTTCTGCAGACCTCAGGCAAACACTTGGAATTTTCGTCCTCTTAGTCGTTTTGAATATGATTTATGACTGTCATTGCACAATCTGTGTAAATTTCTTGGATTATGAAAATGGGCCCTTTCATGTGCAGTAATAAATTAACAAGCAAGGAAGGGCTTAAAAGAGACATTTCCTGCCAGTTGTCAGAATTGAGGCGTTTCACAACAGCAGCACTCACAAACGTGGAATGCCTAACTTAGTCCAAGGGTCGTGGAATCACCTCCTGACGCAGACGGGCTCATGGAGGGGTGCTGTCTACAGTCGGACAGGGCCAGTGTGGACGCCTGCCTCCACTATTGCTCTCTGACTTGAGACAAGCACTTGACCCGGTGATCCTCCCTTTCTGGTTCATGCCTGTCTTGGGATCAGTGTCAGGATGGAGTGAGATGAGTTATGTCAGGTTCCTTGGAAACCGTCGGGCATGTAAGAGATGTTCACTGCCCAGTTCCATCTTTCTACTGGGCTCCTCAAGTTTCCCAGAGTGGAGTCAAGGGTAAGACTAAGGAAAAGAAAAGATGTTCTCCGCATTGTTGTACTTACAACAGTTTTAAAACTTCACGTCTTTTATTATGGAGAGAACCCTGTGTGAGAGAGAAGCACACGAAATGGTAACAATTTACAGACCATATTTCAATTTTCACTTATTTTTAATGTTTAGGAACTGATGTCACACGTGTCACCTTACTATATGGGGCATCGTATTTACGTGTCGCCAGTTCTTCTCTTTAGGGTTCAGTTAGCTCATGAGGCTAGCTCATGTGCCTAGCTAGCAGCCATTCTCCCATGCTTCTGTGACTATCCAACACCGTTCCCTCCAAAGAGGCAGAAATGGCGATGTTTCCCAGCCTTCCATGTCAATAAACAAGGCCACGTCATGGAGTCCTGACCCATGGAGCTCAAGGACAGTGCACTTTGGAAAGCTTGTAGTAAGCCTTTCCTCTCCAGCGGAAGAGAACACCGATGGGGAGGAGCCTGCTCCTGCCTTGCATTTGTTGTGTGAGGTGTGATGTGACAACTGTGGCAGCATCTGCAGACCAGACAGAGAAAGCCAGAGGAGGGACAGCAGTTCCCAGAGGATAAGGCTGGAGTCATCAAGCTGTGAGAGAACCAGGCCCCTGTCTCAAGAATTCTAGACTTCTGGGGGAGTAGCTAACTGCTTGAGATCCTCTTTCTTCTTTAAGATCATTGAAAACCTGAAAGTCAGAAACCACATGTAAGACAATTTTGATTCCCCCCATTCTTTCACTTATTCACCCGATCCAACAAATAATTCTCTGTTTATTCAATAGTTCGGCATGTATTTATGTAACAGGTACCAGTCCTCTAGTGCACTGGTTGGCTTTTGTTGAACTTCAGGACTCCCCTGCAGAAGCTCTCCCTGGCTTCCACGTCTTGGACTGAATGCCCCCCTTCTGTGCATCTGTAAGAGCTACTCATTATATCCTTTGTGGAACTATTGTTTTGCACTGAAATAAATTGCTTATCCATTTGTCTTTTTAACAATGATATTTTATATCTGTCGTTTTCACTTCTATGGATTCAACCAACCCTGGATTAAAAAACATTTAGTTTCCACATATAGGACTGGGAAGGGTTCTAGAAGGCAAGAAAGGGTTGAGGAAGGGTGGATGGATATGACCAATGAATGCTGCGTGCAGGTATGGCAATATTACAATGAATTCCGTCAATCCCACCAATCAATATGTGTCTATGAAATATTTTTAAATGATTGTATTTGTGCTGAACATGTATAGACTTTTTCTTGCCTTTTTTCCCTGAACAACATAATGTAACAAGTATTTACACAGCATTTACATTGTATTAGTATTCTAGGTAATCTAGAGCTGATTTAAAGTATATGGGAGGATGCATGTTGGTTATATGAAAATCTTAAACCATTTCTTATAAGGGCCTTGAGCATCTGCAGATACTTTGGATTCCTGTAGGGAATGCCTGATGGATACCAAGGAATGACTCGATACTTTTTCTATATGCAGAAATTAATAGATAACTCTCTCCCTCCTTCCCTCATCCTTTTTCTCCCCTCTCCCTCTTCCCATCCTCCATTCCTCCCCCTCCCCCTCCCCTTCTCCCTCCCCCTCTCCCTCCCCCTCTTCTCCTTCTCCTTCTCCTTCTCCTTCTCCTTCTCCTTCTCCTTCTCCTTCTCCTTCGGGTTACAGGAAAGTTCTTGGCCATCAATGTGTATTTAATGTTCTTTGTGGACCAGAATTGAACTGGGTACCATGGAGAATACAGAAGAATCACGAAGTTGGTAATAAGAGCAGCACTGTGCCCTTTAATTTGCATTCCTAGTGCATTAACCAGAGCCTGGTAAATGTTTGCTGAATAAAAAAACTTGTACTTAAGGAGAGCATATTTTATTGAAGTGACAAAACTGACCTGGGAACAATTTTAGATATGAGTCACCACTGTCCTGTGTAACATTAGGTGATAGTGATGTTTCATAAATATGTATTAAGTAAAGCATTTATATTTGTAATACATCAGAATCTAAAATTTTGAATGTTGAATGTCTTGAAGCATGGTTGTATTCTGATAGTTTCCCCAGATTTGAGAGCTGGTTTCTGCCTCATTTTGAGATTGACTTATTTTTCTCCTGATGTTTTGAAGTATCAACTTGGTTACATATAAAGTGCTTGTATATAAAATGAGTGGTTCTCTGAAATCTTTGCCCCATTGTCTCACACCTTGCCATAGTGCTGCGCTGATTTAGCTTGTATGCATCTGAATACACTTGTCTTCTTTTCATTGCCAACATCTTCCAATAAATAATATGTAGGCATTTATAGAGCTGGATAAACTTTTGAGCTTAAATGTTAAACTCCACCATTTTTTTTTTAACATTGGAGATAGTAATTTTTTCTTTTTCTTTTTTCTTTTCTTTTCTTTCTTTCTTTCTTTTTTTTTTTTTTTGATACTGGGATTGAACCAAGGGGCACTTTACCCCTAAACTACATCATCAGCCCTTTTTATTTTTTGTTTTGAGACAGGATCCTGATAGGTTACTTAGGGCCTCGTTAAGTTTCTGAGGCTGGCTTCAAACTTTCAGTCTTTCTCCTGAGTTGCACCTCTGCACCCAGCTTGAGATAGTATTTAGACGTACAGAATTTTGAGAGGGAGTTTAAAGCACTATTTTGCAGTCAAATGCCCAGAACTAAATGAATAGTATTACAACTTTATAGGTGATCTTCACTTTTCATAAGATTGTTTTCAGAATTAAATGATGCAAAGTAAAACTTGAAGAAACGTAGCTTTTACTTTATTTATTTACTTTGTCTAACAAGGGTAGAGGGGATTGTACCATTGGTCTGTCCCCTTCACAGGTGACTTAACATGTTCTGTGAAATGGCACATGCAGAATGCCACTCTAAAGTGACACACACATCTAAAGACTGTGGTTACAGAACTCAGCAAGGCTGGCAGAGAGGACTAGAAGGTGGGTCCTGAGGGCTGCTTAAGGCATTGTTATTGGACTTTTGATCTTCCATCTGCCTCCATTTTAGCTGCAGTATTTGGGAGAGTGTAACCATAAGACACATTTGGGACAGGTGTGTCTTGTGATCAGGAAATATACCTAGGACCCAAAGCACATGCATGACTCATGCATGGCCAATTAAAGTGACCTCAGTATCCTTGTGTGAGCTATTTTTAAAAGCATGATTAAGGAAGCCTTTTGAAATCTTATTGGTTTAGCCTCCAGAAAAGAGAGAACTGACTAATCAGTAGGGAAGCACACTATGTTACCTTGCTTGACTCATGGTTCATGGAAAAACGCCCCAGGCACCTGTGTTTGCTGGGGACGACTCACATTCACTTTGAATAACAAGAAATGACTGATTGACGCTCCCTGGTCTTCCTGCCAGAAATCAGTCACAAGATGCTCAACAAGTGTTTGTGCCTCTTTCCCTCTGATAGTCTATACTGCATTCTGTGACAAGAGACCCTGTTTTTCCAAATCAGGGTGATACTCAGGAACAGGCATGACACAACTGTCACCCGTGGTATTGATTTAGAGTCACCTTCAAAGTTATTCCTCAAATCATGATGCACTTTGGGACTGAAAGGGGGTATTAAAAAGAGTCAAAAATTACATATTGGAGGGATTTTTATTTATTAACAATTTTATAATATTGATGGCCTTTAAGATATTTCTACTCAAAACCATTTTCAAAACTAAAATTGTTTCTCAAATATGAAAAAAATTAAACACTATATATCCAGGTACATAAAAGCAAATATTAAAAGTTATTTTTATTGATTATCTGAGCCATTAAAAAAAAGCCTAGGGTGAATCATTAGTCTTAGAATATTTATTTATGTGCTTTAAACAATTCATTAGCATTAATGTCTCCAAATTATGTCATATTTTTGTGAAAATGTTTTCAACATAATCTTATTTTCTTTATTTTTTAAATAGAATGGTCTCTAATCCTTTTCAGAGCTTCATTGTAAAATTAATAAAAAGTTGACACATTCAACTGACTCATTTCCATAGATGATATTTTTTAATTGTAAAGACACTGTATGCATGCTGAAGTACTTGGGAAGATCAGAACAAATTCAGCTCATGAGGAGGATATTATTAATCATTTTCTTCATATTGAAAGGCATACATGCTTCCCATCAAACCTTGTCCCAGCTGCCAACCTTGCCCCCACTCAGAACCCCGTTCTCCCTGTGCTATCCCACTGGAACTTGCATATCCTCACACTGCCATCGTTGTTGACTTCTTCCTCTGTTTTTACAGGGACAAATTTTAGTGTCCTCTTGCTTGCCAGCTTTGTTTTAATAATTGCAACTTGTTAAGTGCTTCAAAAGCTGCAGTATTTTTATTGTTTATTTTTTTGAGAGGATCCATGCCATTTTTTGAATACTCTGATTAAAGATTTCCAACCAGTTTTCAACAAAATGTACGCAAATTAGGAGGCCTGTTTACAAAAAGTTTAATGGGATTGTAGGGTACTTAGGTTCATTTTCTGAAATATTCTGAAAGAGTTCTGAATAAATCAAACATTTCCAAAAATCTGATTAACTAACAGCAAAAAATGTAGACACATATGTGTATATCTATGCAAGTAGGTAGACAGATTCTTCCTTAGTATTCAACCTCAGCTCAGGAAGAAATTTTACAGATTATTTGCTTAACATGTTTACACCTATGTGTACATATATATTAACATACATTTGTCTGTGCATTTCAATGGTGACATCTTTTGTGTTGATTGGTAGGTTATGGCAGCTTGTCTGAATGCTGTTGCTAATTATGCTTGTCTCACAACCAATTCCAAGGACAGTTCTGTTCTGTGGATTTCTCAACACTTACATTACACTGTAAAATAATTAATTTTATCTTTAATATAGAACTTTTAAATTGAATTTCCTGCTTATTTTAACATTTGTATGCCTTTACTTAGATTCCATGATATGGAAAGGAAAGATTCACTATTGAAATTAATTTGACTAATTTGACTTTCTATTTGAATGATATATTTTGCAAAACTAAAATCATTGATCTCTTGGTGAATTTCTTCTGCCCACAGAACCCACACCTTGAGAACTCTTGTTTCCCACTTGGTAAAGGCACAACAAAACTTAGGATCATAAATGAGCAAAATGAATGTGTGATTTGCCTTCATTACAAAGTTATGCTCCTCAGAAAGATTGTCACCATGCTTTATGCCACTTCATGTGTTAAATTACAGCTCTGAGGAACATTCTTAAAATCATTTTGAAATGGGTTCTGATGTTCCTTCATCTCAGTTGATCTAGAAGTTTCCTTGTGGTTGGTGATATCATAGCAACTCGAAGGTATTGGCTTTCTTGAAGAACAGAAACTTATATACAATTAATTAAGCCCTTTAAAAGTTCTTCAATGCCCACATAATTAATAGCAGAAAACAGCTATTACAAAGTAAAATTATTTAAAAATAGATGTAGATTTACCTTACATAATAAATGGGATTCACTTCTTCTCTCAGAGTGTTCTGTGCACATAATTCACTAAGATTTAATCTGTGTTTTACCTGTTTCCTCTATAGCTGGTAGCTTGAGAACCTTGTGAAGCTTTTGAATTTCATTAGCCCTTGCACTATGGATGGTTTACCAGATGACTGGATGTGGCCTCTTCCAATAATTCTCAAGAGTGGAAAGAGTTCTTCTTGGGAGCTGCCACCTGACCACACCAGAGTCCCCCACATGCTGCTGTTGTGAGAACTGTCCCACATCCTTTCTGAAAAGGGCAGATGTATCATCTTGGGCTATTTTCCAGATTTGATCACATGTTGAAGTGGGCAGTTTTTTGACTGCACACATGTCTGCTCCACTGTACAGACCTTGAAAGGAGCTCTGAGCTCAAAGTGAGGGTTTTACTAGGTCAACTTAGCTCACTTTTGCACAGCAAGCAATTATAAAATTCTTAAAAAAAAAAAAACAAGGAAAAGGAAAATGTAAAACAAATGAGACACTAAAACAGCAAATATAAACCCGGCCTCTTCTGAGAGTCCCTGGGATCAGTGAACTCTGGCTGGTTTCTGACCTAAGGGCCCTTCATTCTCCTCTGGGACCAGAAGTCCAGGAGAGGACAGCAATGCTTCCTGG